ATAATAATAATAATAATAATAATAATAATAATAATAATAATAATAATATTTACTATTAACATTATTATATTTATTATTATATATATATATATATATATATGCACACACATATATATATATATATTTATACATAACAGCACCCCTACAAAATATATGAAATTCGTTATTACAACACCGATAAGAAAAATAAATACAACAAAATAAAGTAAAAACTTAATAAATATAAATATAAATAAATAAATATATATATATATATATAAGTATATATATTATTATATTTTTGAGTTTTGTTTGTCTGACTGTTTTTTGAGAGTTGGTTGATTTTTTGTTTGATTTTTGAAAACAACTTCGTCATCCCACCGCCTTTTCAAAGGAGCAACACCGCCTGCACCTTCTGCTGCTGCTGCTGCTGCTGCTGCTGCTGCTGGTTTGCTGCTGTCTCCTCCACCGTCAAGCAGCAACGGGTTCGCCCGCAGCATCTTCTCTTGCTGCTCTTCTCTTCTTTTTCGCTCTTGTTCACGAGCCTGAAGTAATAATAATAATATAATAATAATTAAAATAATAACAAATGTGTTAATATTATTAATTAAAATAATAATTATAGTAATGTTAATGATAATAGTAATTAAAACAAACAATAATAATAATATGCAGCAGCAGCACTGGCACTCGAAGAAAAAACAAAGAAAAGAATTGTTCAATAAACGTACGCAAGAAACACAAACAGCAGCAGCAGCAGCAGCAGCAGCAACAGCAGCAGCAGCAGAACCAGCAGCAGAAGCAGCAGCAGCAACGACAGCAGCAGCAGAAACAGCAGCAGCAACGAAAGCAGCAGTATTCACCCACCACCGGCAGCAGCACAAGCAGCATGTGCAGCAGAAGCAGCAGCAACGACAGCAGATGCAGCAGCAGCAGCAGCAGCAGAAGCAGCATCAACAACAGCAGCATGAGCATCAGCAGCAAGCTATAGCGTGTGTACATACAGCAGCTTCTTCTTTCTCTGCTCTTTCTTTTTTTATTTTTTCTAACTCTCTCAGCAGCTCTGCTTCTTCATCATCACTGCTGTCCGAATCGCTGACTCCTTCTTGCTGCACATTTGCTGCTGCTGCTGGAGCGTCTACGTCGTCTGCGTCCTCGGGAAATGGGTTCTCTACCTCTGCACACAGCAGCGGCAGCAGCAGCAGCAGCATCAGCAGCAGCAACAGCAGCAACAGCAGCAACAGCAGCAGCAGCAGCAGCGACGGAAGAAAATGCAGCAAACCAGCAGAAGCAAACTTAAAGACAACGCTGCCCGCCTGCTGTGTCCAGAGGAGCAGCACCAGCAGCAGGAAATACAGCAGCAGCAGCAACAACAACAGCAACAGCAGCACTAGCAGCAGCAGCAACAAGGAAGAGGAGATGCTAACCCGGCAACGCAGCGAGAGTTCTGTACATACACCGCAGCACAACATTTGTTTTTCTGTTTATTTAAAAGCAGCAACGTGCAGCTAGCAGACAGCAGCAGCGGCAGCAACAGCAACGTGCGTAGCAGCAGTAGCTGCATCAGAAAGAGCAGCAGCAGCACCACGAGCAACACCAGCACCACGAGCAACACCAGCAGCGCGCAGCAGCAAGAGCAGCGGAAGCAGCAACAGCAGCAGCGAGAGCAACAATAACAACAGCAGCACGAACAGCAGCAGAAGCGGCAACAGCAGCAGCGAGAGCAGCAACACCAGCAGCAGCAGGAGCAACAACAACAGCAGCAGCAGCCTTACGCGAGAGACTTCTTTTTATTTTTTTGTGCTGCTTCCTTCTTCTGAATTTCTGCTGCTAACTGCTTTCTGTCTTTCGTCTTCGCCAACTGATCGCCAGTCCTCACCTTCAGCCGCAACTCCCCAGGCTGATCCCGTGCTGACCGCTGAAACCACAAACCCTAAACCCTAAACCCTAAACCCTAAACCCTAAACCCTAAACCCTATGCTCCCTGATGGAGGAAAGGCAGTCGAGAGGAAAGGACCGATGATATTATGAAACCCCCACCACCCCGATGGGATGATCTAAGGTATTATTAGCCTTAAACCCTAAACCCTAAACCCTAAACCCTAATCCCTAAATTCTAAACCCTAAACCCTAAAACCTAGACCAAAAACCGAAAACCTTAAACCCAAACTCATAAACCCTTAGACCCCTATGCCCTAGACCCTAAACCCGAAACTCCAACCCTAAACCCTAAACCCTAAACCCTAAACCCTAAACCCTTTTAATACCTTGGTGGTGGCTTGTGCAAGGCGGTTGCCGCCCTGATGTTCTCCGCCCAGAGCTGTATACCACGTGGGTCTATGAGCGGTCGTCATTGTGGGGAGAAGTAAATCAATAAATGAATAAATAAATGAAAATAAATAAAGATAAATAAATAAAATATAAGATAAAGAAAGGAGAAAAGGAGAGAAAAAGAAAAGAAAAAGAATAAACCTGTATGCAGCAGCTCGTAGAAAGCAGAAGAAAATGAGGTGTTGCAGCGATGAAAAAGATTCGAAAGAAAGAAAATAATAAATTAATTAATAAATTAATAAATTAATTTAATTAATTTATTCAAAATGTTTTCTATTTTAGACGGATTTCTACTTATTCTGCATGCACGCCGCAGGGCTGAGGAAGAAGCAAACGGCGACGCATAAGAAAGCTGAGTGTTTATACACTAAATCTCGAGTTTTTTTCGTTTAATTTTAATTACTTATCATTTAATTTAATTAGTTTTCTCTATATTTTCTAAAAATATTTTTTAAACGATGAAAAACAAGCGGACTTCTTCCTTATTTACTATCCTATGCTATGCATGCAGTAGCGGGTAGTTAGACGCCCCTGCCCTTAGAAGCCTCTTTGTTTTTTTCACGAAAAGTTTATTTATTCATTTTATTTTTATTTTTAAATATTAATAAATATAATTCTTTTGTTCTTTTTTATTCATTTAGACACCCCAGAACCTCTGTTTTCTATTTAAACCCTAAACAGCTGCATCTGTACGTCTAGAGATGTTTATCTTTCGGTAAATAATTAATTTTTAATATCAAATTCAAATTCATTTTTATTTGTTTTCTGCATTCTAACAACTGTCTTTTCCTGAACTTTCTCTTGCTTTATATATAGATATATATATATGTATATTATATATATATATTGAATTAGAGATGAGAACAGTATAAAAGGCATATTAATATGCTTGAAGTTAAAATGTTGTGCAGGACGAACCACATAAAAGCCACGTAAAGACATCTGCATCTGCAGCAACAAATTTAAACAACAGATGTTTTACAAATAAGAAACAAAGACAGGTATATATATATATATATGTTAGCCTCGCGAGCTCAGAGAAAAAGCTGACTGTAAAACGCAGCAAGGGCTTCGCTGGCTGCGGCTGTTATATCCATGTATATTTATTATTTTAAACTAAAGAAACACCTTCAAATTAAAAAGAACCTCCTTTTCACCACTTACTCCTTGACAGCTGCTGCTGCTGCTACTGCTGCTGCTACTGCTGCTGCTACTGCTGCTGCTGTGCTGCTGATACTGCTGCTGCAGTGCTGCTGCTACTGCTGCTGCTACTACTATCACCCTTGTTTCTTCTGTTGTTGCTGCTGCTGGGCTAACTGTTGACTTAACAGCAAACCTCCCTGCAGCAGAAAAGTTTTAGGTGCTCTTACAGCTGCTGCAGTGCTGCTGCTGCTGCTGTTGCAGTGCTGTTCCTGCTGTTCCAGTGCTGTTTCTGCTGTTGCAGTGCTGCTCCTGCTGTTGCAGTGCTGCTCCTGCTGCTGCATTGCTGCTGCTGATCCAGTGCCGCCGCCGCTGGTGCTGCTGCTGCTGCTGCTGCTGCTGCTGCGCTGCTTCTACTGCAGCGCTGCTGCTGCAGCCCTGCTCAACTATTGCGCGGCCTGATTTCCAGTTGCGAGTGCAGACGCCTCTAAATCTACATATAATATATACATATATATATTAATATATATACATATATTTATTTATTTATTTATATTTATATTATATTCTGCTAATTGA